CCCCCAAAATAATCTGTATTGGATTTAATTGCTATTATATAGGATTTATATTACATTTAATATCACTAGTGTTTTGAATCTCATGTCTTCATTTATTTCATTTTTTCCCATCTTTTGACAAATTATGTGTTTTTTTTTAAACTGGTGTCTTTTAATTATACAAAATAATGGGATTCATTGTGATATTTGTATATAACATAATTTGGTCAGTGTATGAACATAATTTGGTCAATTTCACTATCCAGTACCTTTCTTCTTTTCCTGTCTTTCTTCCTGCCATGCCCCCTACCCTCAATCCCCAGTGGTAGATTCTACTGGTCTCCCTTCTATTTTCATGAAATCTCTTGTATTTTTCCTTTTTTATTTCTAATTTCCACATATGAGAGAAAACACATGACCCTGGAGTGTCTAAGTCTGGCTTATTTCATTTAACATGATAATCTCCAGTTCTATCCATTTCCCTGTAGATGACACAATTTCCTTCTTCTTTATAGCTGTGTAAAATTTCACTGTGTACATATGTCACAACTTAAAACCAAAATACAAGTAACACAATCAACAAATGGACAAATGAACTAAACAGACCTTTCATAAAGAAATACAAATGGCCAACAAATATATGAAGAAAAAAATGTTCCTTGTCCTTAGCAATTAGGGAAATGCAAATCGAAACTACACTAGGGCTGGGATTGTGGCTCAGTTGTACAGCGCTTGCCTAACATGCATGAGGCACTGGGTTCAATCCTCAGCACCACATAAAAATAAATAAAATGAAGGTATTGTAAAGGTACTTTGTTCATCTATAATTAAAAAAAAATTTTAAACTACACTGATATTTCATCTCACTTCAGTTAGAATGGCAGCCATCAAGAATACAAATAATAACAAATGCTGGTGAGGATATGGTGGGGGGGCAGGGAGAAACTCATATACACCACTGGTAGGAATTTAAGTTAATAAATTTGTATAACCCCTATGGAAATCAGCATGGAGGTTTCTCAAAAGACTAAGAATGGAACCACCGTATGACCCAGCTATACCACTCTTTAGGGTATTTACCCTAAAGAACTAAATTTTTTTTCAGTGTACTGTAGTGATACATGGATACTTGGGTTTATAGCAGCACAATTCACAATAGCCAAGTTATGGAACCAGGTGAGGTGTCCATTGGTAGAAGAACAAATAAAGAAAATGGGTTCTGTATAGACAATGGAGTTTTGATTTTTCTTTTGAAAATATCTAGATGGCAAAGCAGGGGAAGGGAGCAGGAAGTGGTAGAGAGGCATGGGACATAAATTTCTGGAAGAAGGAAATGAAAGATTACCTAGAAGAATGGATGGATGTCATCCAGGACCCAGACGCGGTTACAGGGTATGACTACAGGGCTATCAGTATGGGTGTTGGGGGGTGGGGGGAGGGGCAATTCTCCTTTGCACTGTCAGAAGCCCTGTTTGGAGGAGTGGGAGAAGGGATCAGGTGTGGTGGTGGAGAACAAGGGGGAAACCGGGTAGGGGATACGGATTTATGAGTGTGACAATAAAAACTGCAGAGCTACAGCTGGGCAGCCTGCACTTCCTAAAAGCCAAACAGACCTGGCCATTGGCCACTGACTTTTAGACTGCAATTGACGAGTTGGCCCGTCTCTCTAAGGCCAAAAGTGTCTAAAACCAGAACAAAAATCATTCTTTCCCATGTTCCTAAAAACCTTAGGAATTACCAAGGTAAAACCAACCAACGTTTATTTTAGAAATAAACAACAAAAATGAATATCAAAGTAGGCCAAGTATTTCCAGGCAACAAGCCTGATCTGCTACACATTCCTGGTGTCTAGTTTCAACCAGGCACTCACTGAAACTTGGCCAACATCTATTCCTTTCTCGGTAGCTTCCTGGCGCATTCCACCACGCAGCTCCATCTCTGTGAGCCGTGGATGCTACTCTGTTAGCTGCCATCCTCTATAATGGGCTCCCCAGCATACTATTTGGGGCGGGGGGGGGAGCTGGAAGACATCAGATGCTATGCTGGTCATCCTGACTTAAAATACCTTCTTCTCAACACCTTCTCCTGAGTCTATTTTCCTGCCTAAATGTCATTAGAGACCTGGGTGGCCTGAGGACAACTGGGGACTAGGGAAGGCCTGGAGGTTCCTGGGTCCAGGGGTAGGGTCCAGCCAGGGTTCAGTAGCTGATGGAAAAGTCTGAACCGAGATGCAAAAGCTGGCTAGAGTTTGATGAGCGAAAGTCTAAGTCAGACAGGAAGAAGAGGAGCAGGCAAAGCCATAATTGAACATCATAATTGAACATTGATCAAGAACCAATGTCAGGCAGTGGTGTGGTCAGAGCTTGATGGGTTCAAGTTCCTGGCCTCGTTTTTCTCTAGTGAAGTGTCAATGAGGTTGGGACAACTTTGGGGACGGGAATGGAGATGGGAGGGGTAGAAGTAGATCCTGAGCCTGTTAAAGGCAGAGACCAGCACCTGGCCTAGGTCTGGCCCCTGGCGTGAGTCAGCTGAGGCAGGAGTACGCACATACCATAAGTGCGTAAGTCCTATAGGGCCACCACCCTGGAGTGCCAGCAGCCTTTTCTAAGATGGCTTCTCCCATGCATTTCCAGCATTTGTCAGAGCTGACCCCATGCAGCAACACTAGAGGCTGGAGGATCCGCCATGTACAGAGCTGGGGAACAAGTCCTGAGGTTGAGCAGCAGCCACCAGCATGTGATTCTCAGTGTCTTTCTCCTGAACTTGTGGTCCCAGTTCCTCACGTCTCCTAGGCCCCCTCGCTTTGCCCTTTTCATCAGCATTTTCCAAATGTCCCCTCCACTACACCCATCCTCTCTGCCTTTAAACATTTCCAAGTCTCCCCTCCTCTAAAACATTCTTCCCTTGACCCCAAGCTCCCCTTACTTCTATTTTTCTCCTTTTCTCTGCCAAAATCCCTCAGGGAAGGCTGCACCAGCTGCTGTCTTTCCCTCACTCACCACGGCCCTTGGCCTTGGCGGTCGCTGTCACACACCACTGACAACACAGGGCAGGAGGAGCCTGTGGCTGACACAGAAGCAGAAGGCACAGCCATTGAGACTTAAGAAGTGCAGGTGGCAGACACAGGCACCTCAATACACACAGACACACACACAGAAAGATACACAGATATAGACGTGGACACATAGACACACACACAGAGAAATGCATAGACACACAGAGACATAGAACGCCCCAATACACAGACACACCCCAACATAGATACACAGAATAAAAATAAACATACACACATAAACATAGAAATACACAGACACACACAGACATAGACACACACCAACACAGAAACACACACAGATACACACACACGTGCAGAGAAGCAGACGCACAGAAACACATAGACACATGGGGCTGGGGTTGTGGCTCAGTAGCAGAGGGCTTGCCTAGCATGTGTGAGGCACTGGGTTCGATCCTCAGCATCACATATAAATAAACAAATAATAAAGGAATATCAACAACTAAAAAATAAAAATAAAATAAGGAAACAGACACAGTACACTGACACTGACCTCTGTACACAAAGATAAAGTCACGTAGTTATATGCACACACAGACACAGAGAGATACAGCAATGTACATACACAGTGACATACAAACACAGGTATAGACACAGAAACACAGATAGGCGCACAGACACACACACACACACACACACACACACACACACACACACGCCAACCCATTCCAATTTGGCAGCCTGAGTGCTCTCTCTTTGCCTAAAGAGGATGAGGAGAGAACCCTAGGGCCACCCACAGCATGGTGGGAACACAGTGCTCAGCATGAGGACTTGGAACCCCTAATGGTGGCAGCGCCAGGAAGTCAAAAAGGATCCTAGAATCTCGCTGTACCCAGGGGTGTATCCAGGTTTCATCAGGCCTGAAGGTTCTATGATAGGAAAGGGAGCTCTCTTTGTGCCTGCAGAAATCTAGTGCTAAGCTCGTAGAAGACATCCCTGAAATTATACCCACAGTCAAGGTCGGCAGGGTTTGTCGAGACAGCTGGAGGACGACTATGACCTTGGGACCCAGAAGGTCAGCTGTGCAGCCACCTGCTTTCTGGGACCATAGACCAGCAGTGGGCATATCTCCCCAACAAGTGACAGCATCTGAATTTGAACCCAGGGGCTCTGGCTTCTCATGATCTTAACCAGCTTCGCCTGTTGAACCCCTCACATGGACTCAACAGAGCTCAGCAAGGGCCAAACAGAACCCGTAAACATGGACAAACCACTCTAAGGAATCTAGGGGTTCTACTTCCCTAAACTGGGTGCCTGGGTTCTGAGCCATTCTTTGCCAAGTCAAGAAGAGCATAGTCTCTTCATCCATAAAGGCTTTTCTCTTTTCTTTCCACCCTCCTGATCTATACCAAGGTGACTTGGTTGATCATGAGATTTCTTAATAGTTTTCATTTGATTGACAAACATTTTATAGCTTGTTCTCAATTACATTTAAACAACCGACTTGAACATTGTTATTTTGTAAAACTTCTCTTGGTTAGGTGGCTTGTCATGATCTTCTTCCCTACAGATTCTTAATAATAAAGGCATGGACCGATTCTAGCTAAACATTCTCTTGTCCTGAGATGAGTCAAGACCCAGTTGTGCATCCATAGAGTACATCATCCTATAACATCATCACCCCCACCCCTCCGGTGGAAACAGGGGTGTTTGGCTTTGCTTTCCTGTTTAAGTAGAGTTGTTGGCTGTGGCTATACTGTAGCATCATCACCTGGCCATCTTTATAAATATATCCAAGTCCAAGCACTCTGCAGACCAAGTAAACCAGAGATCTGGGGATGGGGGATTCGGCACTTGAACATCATTTTTGCAGAGTCCTTGGGGGGTAAGGGGGTGTGGAAATCATTGATGGTAAGGAATACCAAGAACACAGAGTCCTTTAAGCAGAAGGATTCTCCTGCCTCTTGGGGGACACTGGCATGGGAAACAGGACCCCACCCACCAATACCTGAGAGGTTTCTCTGGTTCCCCATCCTTCTGTGGCTATCTTGGCTGCTCCTCTGCCCGGTGTTTACTTCTTATCTTCAGCTGTCCCTGGTGCTCTGGATCCCACTTCCCCCTGGGTCCTCTCTTGACCAGCCATCCTCACGCTGTTGCCCTGAGGTGGTCCAGGAGCCGGGCATCCAGGGTAAATGGGGGCATTGTGACATCAACAGTTGCTAAGTTTCCCCTGCCTTGAATTGCTTGCCCTAGTTGTCCCCCTCAACCAGCCCAGCTGACTCCAAAAATGCTCCATGCCCAGAGGCTGGAGCAATCATTCTTGTCCCTGGGAGGAAATGCCTACTATGTGCTGGACCTATACCAGTTACTTTGTATGAATGATCTCATCTCTGAAGAGTAAAAAAGATAACTGGGTTGATTTCACTTCAACCAACAGTTCTGGGCCAGACCTGGTCAGTTTCGGGGACAGATGAGACACGTGTTCTACTGCCTGAGTGCCAGAATCACCTATAAGGCTGATGGTGACACAGATGGCTGGGTCCCACCTTCCAGAGTCTCTGATTCAGTAGACCCAGAGTAGATCCCAAGAATTTGCCTTTCAAAAACAAGCTTTTTTTACACATTGGGGAGGGACATTCCAAATCAGGGAAGGATCATGTGCAGTTACAGATGGGTGGAGAAGCCTGCATTTTTGGAAATGCTGTCTGGAATGCTCAGGCAAGGAAGAAGAGGTGGGAAGTTGGGTTGGGCAGTCTGAGATGGTTTTATTCTCTCTGCTAGCAAGGCTGGGGAAGATGGTGGCCATCTATGTTAGGGAAGAGGTGGGGAGTTGGGTTGGGCAGCCTGAGATGGTTTTATTCTTTCTGTTAGCAAGGCTGGGGAAGATGGCGGCCAGGGCAGGGACAGGTTCAAAGTATGTCATGTAAGAAGGTGACTACCCTGTGGTTCCACAAGAACCTCCAAAGACTGGATCCATAAGCCTCCTGCAGCTTCAAATGACTCCAGGCTGCCTCAGGGCCGACCACATGCAATGCACAGGGCTCAGATGGGAGAGAGCTCTTGGACAAGAGTGACATCAACCTGCCAGTGTACCAGAGGGTGCTTCAAGAGGCCAAGATCACATCTGTTTATATGTCGTTCATGGCAAGATTCCAAGGCTAGAAAAGAAAATCTATAGCCTGAGTTATTTTCCTCCCACAGGGTTTGCCTGGCTTTTCATAGTTGGCTATAGGGAATTTGCTGCTCACAGCAAATTCCCCATAAGTCAGCATGATATGTATCTGGGCTCACCATCGGCTTCTACAGGCTGTGAGAAGCAAGCCAAGCAAGTGTGCAACATGAACTGGTCTGTCACTGGCATGCCTGGTGACTTCCTGCTGAGCACAGATCCTGAACACAGCTCCATTCCTTCATTCCAGGCAGAATAATTTAATCAGCCAGGGAGGGTTCAGAGCAGGCTCCAGATCACCTATGCACATGTCTTGTATCAGATACCATTCTCAACTCTTCATGCACTACATTATTCCATGTTTGGTCTCTTTAGAAAAAACCCAAGGATAATAATCCTAATCCCCATTCCACAAAATGATGAAACTGAGGCACACAGAAGTCGACTTTTGTCTTAGTTCATTTTCTGATGGTGTAACAAAATGCACGAGTCTAGGCCATTTATAAAGAATCTGACTCATGGTTCTAGAAGCTGAGAAGTTCACAAGCATGGTGCTGGAATCTGGTGAGGGCCCTCCTGCTGGGTCATGTCATGATGGACAGAGCAAACGTGTCAGAGAGAGTTCCCTTTTATAGCAAAGCCATTGCAAAATAACCCATTCATCCATGAATGATTTCATCTATTCATGAAGGCAGAGACTCCTGACCCAATTACTTCCCAAAGGCCCCACCTCCAAATACTATTAAAATATGGCTTTGGGGTTTAAGTTTCCAACACATGAATTCTGAGGGTTAAATATCCAAATCACAATACCCATTGACACACAATTTATAAGTACAAGAATCCATACCACAAAGAAGGTGATACCCAGGCAACTCTATATATCATCATTATAAAAACTCCTGAAATCCACACTCCTGCCCCTCAAATTACTGGCCGATGGGCTCAGACATATCTTTGACCTGCGCACTCAAGTTTCATACAAAAACAAAAGGAAATCATTGAAAAATATCAATGAGTTAGGTCAGAAGTTTATGACCTCTCCACTTGGTCCCCGAGTTGCCATTCAGGGTGTTAAGAATCAGCACAAATCATTTGATCTTAATAAGGGTCCTCCATGGCCCTGTACCTCCAGCTATGTAAAGAAGGGGAAGGCATACAATATTGACTGGCCTCTGGCCCAGAACAAAAAACAGGACCTGGGCTGATCCAATAATCTCTCAGGAATGCAAATAGGAGGTAGAGAAAGAATTGGCTGACAATTGGCTACAGGAGCCAAAGCTAAAAGAATGCTCTGAGTATTATAAAGGCCATGAGGGGTTGTAGCAAGCCAAAGGAATCTGGGAATTGCAATTAGATATGTAAATATATAAATAATCTTTGGGCTAAATGTATAGAGTATATGAAACATAAATGAATTTTGTGCCTAGACTTAGGTCCCATCTCCATCTCAATATGCATATGCAAGTATTCCAAAATTTGGAAAAATCCAGTCAAAACACTTCCAGGTCCCCATACGTTTTTTTCCTATACATATATTTGATAAAATATATTTATAATATATAATTTTAATTTATAAATTAGTCATAGTAAGAGATGAACTACTCCTGTGCTCTGGGGCCATCGTTAAGTACAGTAAGAGTTACTTGAACATAAGCACTGTGATACTGCCACAGTGGATCTGATAACCAAAATGGCTGCTCAGTGAATACTGGGAGGGTAGTACATACAGGATGGATATGATGAACAAAGAAATTATTCACATCCTGGCAGAACATCACACTGCTCAGAGTGACACATAATTTAAAACTTATGAACTATTTCCACTTAACACTTTGGACCAGGGTTGACTGCAAGTTACTGAACCTGCAGAAAGCAAAAGTGTGATTAAGAGGGGGGAATACAGGGGTTAGAAATGATGGTGAAATGTGATGGACATTATTATTCAAAGTACATATATGAAGACACGAATTGGTGTGAATATACTTTGTAGACAACCAGAGATATGAAAAATTGTGCTCTATATGTGTAATAAGAATTGTAATACATTCTGCTGTCATGTATAAATTAAAAAATAATCTAAAAAATTAAATTCAACAAAATAAAGTCCATTAAACAAAAAAACAGGGGAAATTCAGTAAAAAATTTGAGGTGTTTCAATCCATTGCAAACTTCATTCTTGTGGAAGTTCAGTAGAATAAACAGTAAAACAATACGAGCAACTAACTTTACCAATCAAAAGACACCCAACCAACCTCTAACTGGGGTCTTTCCTTTCTAACCAATCAAATATATTATCTTTGCCTTGCACATTCATCGATAAAAGCTCACCGCCCTCCCCACTGCAGTGGAGCTCTCTGACCCTCTTCAGATTAAGTGCTGCCCAATTCATGGGATCTATTGTTTGCTCAGATGAATCCTGTTAAATTTATTTTGTCTGAAATTTTTCTTTAAACCAACTCTTTCTATCCATGGCTCACACCTTCAATCCAGTGATTCTAGAGCTTGAAGGAGGAGGTTCACAAGTCCAAAGCCAGCCTCAGAAATTTAGTGAGACCCTAAGCAATTTAGCAAGATTCTGTTTCAAAATAAAATACAAAAAGGCTGTAGATGTGGCTTTGAGGTTAAGCACCCCTGGATTCAATCCCTGGGTACAAACTTAAAAAAAAAATCTTTCTAAAGAATTTATACAGAATTTGAAAGGTATGGAGAAATCTGATTTTTTTTTTCAATTGAATCTCCCTTTAATTTCTGGCTTACCTTATTTAAATCTTATGGAGAGTAAACCGTGCCTGCCTTAGGCAAGCTTTAGTTTCACCTCCTTTAGGAAACGTTGGATATCTTTCTTTATGAATACTATTAACTTTCACACTAGCAGCATAGTGCTTACACCTGACATAGCTGAGATCACACTTATCCTGAGTAGAGTTTATCTGCCAACAAACCTTTTAGCTAATAGGCATGAGACCAAGTTCTGGTCATGACATGTAAGTAAAAGGGGCAACTTTTAGAAAAGTTCCCTAAAACAAGGGTGCATGCCTTTATCATTCCCTTCTTCCTTTATTGCTGGTGAAATGCAGATCTGATGCCTAGAGCTAGAGCAATCATTTTGTACCACACAATGACTTTAGGAACTGAAGACACATACAGAACTCAATACAGAACTCAAGTTCTCTTGACACTGTAGAGGGCTATTCCCTCGCTGAACCACCTACATCTAAAATTTTCACATAAGACAGATATGAACTTCTGTCTGGTTTAAGCCAGATAATGGATTTTCTACCACTCACAACTGAACATTATCCTGGCTGATAGAACACAGATAAAGAGGGGGAAAAAGCAAATTACAGGGCATTGTTTTCTCAACTAAACTATATGCTTGTTGAACACAGTCTATCTCAGTCATTCTTCCATCTCCAGAGCCTTCTATAAACATTCCACAGTAAATGTTCAAGAGAAGAACACAGCAATTTTAACCTATCAAGATTCATAGAAATGAATTATATGAATCTCCACCAGAATGTGTTGGTATTGGTGAAAATTCTTAATTCTACCAGATGGCTAACAGCCCAGACAGGAGAATGAGAACCTCAAATAGTAATATAATGACATAAAACTGAAGGTCTTGCAGCATTGTGTACAATCTCAAGGGTCTGGAAACAATCTTAATGCAAATCAAAAGGTGAATGATTAAAATATGGAATATCCACATAATGGAAATTTAGTCTCCATTTAAAGGTATGAAGCCAATCTATATGTGTGATGATCATGGTATATAGGGTAAGTAAAAATGGCAAGACCTTTTAAAATACTATAGTCTCAAGAAAAACCAAAGTAGATTATCAATGAAATGGGCAAAATTTTAATAGCAGTTGAAGCTAGTGATGAGTGTATGAGGGTACATTGTACTAGGGTCTCTATGTAGGAGAAAACTCTGTGATAAAAATGAAAACAAAATAAAACCACATGGTTCTGAGCTTTGTTTTGTTATTTTGTATTTTTTTTGGGGGGGGCAGTACCAGGG